CCTCCCATTCCCCCAGCCCCCACCCACACCTCTGCACTGAGCTGTCTATTCTGCGGAAGTGCCTATTTTCAGCCTGGGTCCCGGTCTTATATCCCCCATTGTGGGTCTTGGCAGTCATAGCCCTGGCTCCGGGGATCCAAGCCAAGTCAGACAGCTTTCATCACCCCAGAGAGGGGTATGGGGATCCCTCTGCAGCCTCAGCCTGAAATCTCCCCTCACCACACTCAGTCGGATGCCTAGCTTCCCAAGCTGGTTCCTTGCCCTACTTCTGCAAATCCTCCAGCTGCAGTGTATTGGCTAGGCAGTGAAAATCCATACCGGGTTTTTGCTCTTGCTAGGACCCTAAAATTCACTTTTTTCTCTCTTTTCCCCCTAAAGCGAAGCGTTTGAGGCGTTTATAGATACTATCCACCCCCTAACACAGACCTACCCTCTACTGCCTCTGCTGTGCGGTCAGCTCCAAGTTCCTGTGTAGTTGCACGGAATTTTCTGCGGGGCTTCGTTCCGTCTTCCATACTCCAGTCCTGGCTTTACGTCCTTCCCTCCTTTCTATTGTAGGTCTTGTCTCCCAGGGTAGCGGCCTCCTCATTGCATTCCCTTCGCATAGCCCTTGGAATCCAGATACCGCTTTTACCTGGCCGCTCTTGGTGCAGTTGGCCGCTCCGGATCCGTTCGTGCCAGGCTCCAGCCCTCTTTTTGCCCGTCCTCCTTGCACGTCGCTGCCAGGAAGATGGGGGTAGCCCACGCTGCCTCTCGGCAGCCTCCTCCCCTAGCCCCCTGCAAGCACAAGTCCGGAGAATGCGAGGCCAGGTCTTACTTGTTTCCACTGCATTGGGCATGACGCATTACTCCGTCTCCCTAGAAAGAATCAGGCCCAAAATCTGCGTGCCCGGGGTGCACTTGGCCATGTCGCAGCTTTCCCCAATTCCCACCATCTTGGCCTAATCCGATCCGGGTTTTGCATAACCCTTCCAGATCTCTCTACTCCCCCACTCCAGGTTCAGCACCTTTCCTTTACTTCAATCCGCTCCAGGTTTTCCATGCGCCTGCTTCCCCTCCCCCACTCCCTGTTCAGTCGCGAGGATCCGTCACGTCGCCTTCCCTCTTCCCGTTTTCCAAGGGAGCGAGAGGAGGCGAAGGCAAGAAAACTCCAGCCCGGGTTTTCGGGCTGCCCCCAGTTCGTCCAGGCAGGTTACAGCGACCGGTCCCGAGCGGCAGCTCCGGGCCGGGTTTTGCGCGCGCCTGCGCCCCCTCCCGGAGCGGTTGCGCCGGGGAGCGGGGCAAGCAGGCGGCTTGTCATTGCTGGTGCCCGGCGCCGGCTCG